AATGTCAAGATAAAAATACTTCTCTAGAAAAAAAAGCAGAATAATTAACGACAGCAGAAGAAATAACAGAAAGATAAAGATATCGATTGATAGGTCATTATGACTAAATGCGTTAATAATAAATTAATAACCGACATGAATAAAATCGTAGGAATTTGAAGATTATATGTTATCGCTTCACGAAAAGTAGACATATAACGCGACCTATGGATAAAAAACTCGACTCAATTAAGGTTCATCTATTTCGCTCGCAAGTCATTACTTCACGGTGCATTGTCTCACGAAGCAATCTTCTTTGAGACCAGCTCGCGATCGTTCACCAGAGCTACCTCAATCGATCCGTTTCGCGTATTTGATTTTCAGCATCCGCCATCATATTACCCGATTATCATTTCTTCGTCCCTGCACTTTGCACCCCAATATCTCGGTTGTCGCTTTTGCGGAACATTCTCGCCCGGAGTTAACCAAGCTTCCCTCGCGGAGCCATGGCATTGCGCATCCTGTCTATTTCTCCATGTGCGCCAGAAGGATGAGGGCGTCTAATCGTCCTCGAGAAATTCAATTTCGACGATGCCGATGGCCAGCCTAACTCCGAAAGACGCATTGGTATCCAGGTCAAAGACCTAACCTACCGCAGCCCTCTCTCGCGTACTTCGCTTCGACCAAAACTGCCAGGCCACGGCGACGACGATCGATATACTCGCGTTCCGAGAAGCTCTCCTTCCGCGCGAGTTCAAGAATCTCAAAACTTTCACATCGATTTTCCTCGATCGCGATAACGTGTCAGGCAGTCGTCACGATCCTGACCCAGGGTATACGACACCTTCGTGCAGCTGCGGATTAATTGCGCTCCGTGGTAAATCGTGCTCGTCGCAATCGGCTATGTCACACTTGGAGGGATATCGACCTTACAATACGCGGAACACTGAAAAATTATATTCGCACGCAACTTAGTTACGACAAGTTGTATAACTTAAAATCAAGTCATAACTTCTTCATATTAACGGGAAACGTTTTCATTATTACTTCGAAGCTTGAAATAAAAGTGGAATTTCGCGCAAAAAGTAACAGAGTTTTAAGATAAATGATATTTTCCATATACACAGCGTTTCAGGTCTTTTTAGCCAGTTCTTTCACTAAAATTCCTAATTAAAGAACTTTGAGAACTTAATCATATTTTTATTTCAAATTCATTTATCTTTAGCTGATTTGCTTCTGTTACAACCGTGATTCTGATGTTACGAATATTTAATTCCCGCAGCCGGCAGCGGAGCATCGTAAAATCGAATGCTCTATATATTATCAAAGATTATAGTCGCGACAGACGTCTAGCAAGACGCCATAATAACCCTTGATAACATCAAGGGTGAAAATAATTTCGCTCCGGCTGTCCGAGGTGGATGCATATCGACGTGCGTTTGACGTCGTGGATTAGACACCTTACGTAATAAAGTGCGAACTCGGCCGGCTTATTTACGCGCCGGGGCGCTAACTGCTGAGTATACGAAACGTCTTTTGCATTTTCAATGAAGTTGTCGGGTGCAACGCCTACGGAACACCGACGGCCAAGTGAGAACAACGACAGCGGGACAAATTATTCTAACGCACGCCACGTCCGTGCTTTAGACGTGCGATATAGTCGCGAAAATTGCAGAGACGACGATACACGCAATCAATATAAACGCGCCCGAATTACACACATCTAACGACGACGGTCGAAAATTTAATGCGGCGATATTTATCTTTTTCGTCATTCTCACTCTCCCGCGCGGTTGGCAAACTCTCGTTACCGAAATACAACATTTATTTCACCGCGCGGGATTGCGGCTAATTGCGAAATTAGTTTCGGATTTTCATACACCAGCACTACCGTTATCCAGTTTGTTCCAACGACCCAAAAGCCCAATTCATGACAAAATAAATTTATTCCGTGGCCGAATCCACGCCACGGGCAGGTACATATTCCGCTCGTCTAATTTCTGTCACTGACGAATTCCATTAACCGCTTTGAAACATTTAGAACGACCGAATTCTCGGACAAGGATCTTCCGGACGGAAAATCGATACCGCTGATTTCCATGGACGATATAGGTAGTGCACCCTCATCCTCGGATCGTGATCGACTTCGGTTTCCGTGCCGTCGTGCTCTTAACCAGCCAGCGGGACAGCGGTTACGCGACAGTAAATTCTTGCGTGGTTCGAGAATACGTAATTGGCCAATACACGAAGGGACGAGGTGGAAAAGGGAGTACGAGAGAGAGAAAAAAGGAGGCGGGAGGGAGGAGAGAGAGAAAGAGAGATGAGAGAGAGAGAGAGAGAGAGAGAGAGAGAGAGAAAGAGAGAGAGAGAGAGAGAGTATATAGAAATATGGATGGCGAGCTTTCCGACAAGGCGGTAATGTTGGACCGTAGCAAATGTAGCCGTTAATTGCAATTCCCATTTACACGAAAGTCGGACGTACGGATATGGCGCGTGTATGTAGGGAGCGTGTAACGCGTTCACACGACTACCGTGAGGATGCCAGTATACGTTAGCGGCGGCGCACGTGTTACGGGTGTACGTACTTATATACGTAGGTACGCCACATACCTTAGGTTTAATTCGCAGGGCGCGGTACCACTATCTCTTCCGTGCCACGACCTTTCTTCCACGCACGATTCATTTATCCCGTTCCCGCTGCCGTTGCCGAATACCATGGGCGTTACATTCGGTTGCGGGGCGCGCGATATTCCGTCCCGTAAGTGTCCATTAGGGCTGACGGGGTATTTCGCAGAAACGTTAATGCGGCAACGGCGACGGCGACGGCGATAGTAGATTTATACGAAAATCCGGAAGGATGTTAGGACCCGATGATGGTAGCTAGCATAGCGTGGCCGGGCGCGGTTTCCGCGTGCGTCCCGACGGTTTGACACGCATTAATTAATGGTCCCGCGCTATCTGGGTTACGCGTTGATTCATAATTAATCTATACGACGATAACGTAACATTTAATATTCGCATACGTCGCCGGTGCAGCCGCGCGGATGAAAAATGTGTATCGCATCGGTGAACGCGTCGCGCGTATAGCGTCATTATATGATACCCGTACCGAAAATCATCATCAATCTGTATCGTCGGTCGCACACTTTCTACCCTGTCGAACACGATGACGTTCTACACGCCCCCGATCAATCAGTAATGTCGGCAATCACGCGCGACGCTAAGTTAATACCGCTTGCCGTTGCCGTTACCCAGCATCACGATACACGATATTTCGCACCGTTCTTCCCACGTCGTAAGAATAGCGCCTCGCCGGCTAGCTCCACGTACCATCGGCAAGGAGATACAAATTGAAAAATGTGAACTCGACTCTCCGAGCTGCCGAGCTTGAGAACGCAGCTCGGAACGTACGCGCGGCGGGCGTGGCGTCTTCTTCTTCCACGAAGTAACATCCACTTTTACTCTGGCTTCTCCTTTATGCGTTCCGCTACCTGGGCAAACCAGGAGGAAGCGAAATAGGACATTGTAAAATTCTCCGAACGACCTTTGCACCGATTGCGGGATTTAAACGACTACCGCTCTGCCACGAGGACCTGCCGACTCTCTTCCGAGACGCGTTCTCCGAGTCGTATATTTCTCATTAACGAGTTAACGACACGCAAAACATCGAGAGAGCTCTCCTTCTCACTCCGCGTGCTTTTTCAATCGATATTAATTCCCGGATATCTCCTCAAAACGATATATGCCGAAAGGTACTTTCGCGCTTACGCCGAACGTGTTAATGAAAACTAAATACGTGTGTCTATTACCTCCTCTCTGCTTCCGTAGTACGAAATTAATTCAGAGATAATACGATCTTATTGTACTCACGCTCCTCAAAAAACTTACGAGGTTATACGGCTTGTAGAAATTCAATATGTACGAGGATATGAGAAAAATTACACAAAAAATAATGAAGACAAATTAATGGGTTTAAACATACAGCAACGTGTATATACGATATATAACGATATAAAGTTTATAAATGATATCCATGGCAGATTGATGAGACAGATTAATGGTTAAATACGACAATATGTAAATACATTAATGACATAAAGTACATATGAATATCATCCCTGGCAGATTGATAGAACAACGGGATACCGGTGTCACAGTTCGTTATTCCAACAGCTCGGAATTAATCCAAAAAGTCGAGACGATTCGCCGGGGAGAATAAATGCGCCGTATATAATTCTTTTATTTTTCGCCAACGAGATATTCGCGAATTTTCATTATCATTAAAACCGCACGTACGTTAAGAATTCAGACCATATATTTCCGCGTATTTGCGTTAGCGTGGAAAGTCCATCGCGAACGTTAATTAACGTTTTCACAATTTCCCATGCTATGAGTTTGCACCGGTCAACCCGGAAAGCCTTGCACAATCGAACTTTTGTAACGAGGCTTTCGATTTTATATACTAACGTTGCTTTGTCGGCGTTGCGGGCCAGGTCCAATTTTTTTCCATTTCCATTTGTTTGCAACTTTACACGTATTATTACCCCGCATACACAATTTCAAATATGCACAATGTTGATGCACACCCCTTCGCTATGCGTCGAAAACGATCGATATAACATTTATAGCCTATGCAGCGACCGGGAGTCAATGGCAGCATTTCTCCGCGAGACTATATTTACGAGCGGCGATCGAAAGGTTGAAGTAATTTTGATGTCACGTCTCGCGGCGCGGCGTTGAATAGCAGAGACACTGCAGTGTTTACCGGAAGTCTCTAGGTTCTATAGTCTCTCAAGTTCTTGCGCGTAGCCGCTATTTTCCTCGCACTAAAAATAAGTTATTTTCCTTCGCCGTATCGATACTTATTTTTACGCGGCCATATTTTTACATTCTTAGTATTATATAAGTTTAATAAAGATCGTGCGAACGACCTAAGACCTCTCCTAGTTTATCGAAGAAAGCATTCGACAACAACCGTGTACCGTGTATCCTCGAACTAGATAGGTCCGACGTGTACTCACCATAAAGTCCCCCCGCTGTGGCAGCCTTGAAGACAACCCATATGAGATAAGCATAGATTATCCGGCCGCCCTTCCACGCATCCATGATGCCCATGGCTTTTATCGATGCCCCTTTCAGAACCACTTCGACCCTAATCTAACTCAATTGACGTTGATTAGAATCGCTCACGCACTCCCTCGACTCACGTACACCTCCTCTCTCCTTCTTTTCCCCCCTCGTCCTGCCCACGGATCGTTTTAGGTGCCTAAATAGTGTCGCCGTACCGACGAATTCGTACGGACTTCCGATAGTCGAGTCCGATCCGAAACGAGTATCCCACGCCGCACATATCTCCCTCTCGGCCGAATCGTCGTCTCTCCCTCTCTGTTATTAGAGGATCAGATCCTCCGTCCGTGCGAACAGCGGACCGGTCCACAGCAACGCGAATTTTTACGGTACCGTGACAGGGCGCGATACCGCGTACATACAGGAAGTTTCGTTACACTTACGGATCAGACGTGTAACGACAAGCGTCGGGGGCACGAGATCGCGGGCACGCGATCTACCACTCGTGTTATACGTATATATTCGCGCACTGCTTGAGAGAATGAGAATGAGCAGGCGCGCGCGCGATATAAACGAAACCCGACGAGGGAGGAGTTACGAACAAGCGCGATATAACGGAGCCGACACTTTTCACATTCACTAGGTTTGTGTGCGTCGTGTTACGGGCGCACGGATACACCTAAGCGCACGATTGTACTTTAATCTCATTTTATTTAATTAATTTCAACCATTTGTTTTAAGCGTTCGTGGATTTTTTATATAGATTCCGTTTCTTCCTTATATTAAATTTTTTTTAGCCTCGAGTCTACGAGCTTGCTTACATCCGTGAACTCCGACCTTACGGAAGTAAGAGCGCTCGTTTCTTTTGATCGATTCGCGAGCTGAACCAGATCGTCGGGATGTACACTGATACGGGAACGGGCAATATCCGCGATATCGCGCGGAATCCGTAACCTAATACGGCGATCAGAGATTGGATGTGCGCCATTGACGATACGCTGCCGCGACCGTTCGTGCGACGCACGGATCGCTTCAATTATTATAAATGAATCGGCGGGAGCGAGAGATGCAACCGTTTTGCGCGGCGGGCTCTTTTTGGGATCTCTCAACCACGTCGTTCCGCCTCGCGTAATCGCGCGGTGGAATCAGCCCTCTGTGAAGAAGATTCCTCGGTATCGTTCAACGGAGCGGAACTAACGGCCGAACTTTCGCCGACGTTACGTCCGAAAGCATCACTCATAGGTAGAATCTTGCGCGGTCTTCCACGATGCACTTTGAAAATCCCCGCGAACTAACACTGCCAATTTTCCGGGCAAGCTGGCCCCCGAAGTCTCGTTCAACTTCAGAAAACCAAACACAAGGAACTTCTCTTCCACCACTCGCAAAAAATTCCCAAAATTTGCGCGCCAGAGACAGTCCAGCGTTCCCTCGAAACGTTCACGACATCTTGTTGGAAACGTTCCGTTCCTTTTCTCGTCGCTTTCTCCTCGCTCGAATCACAGAACTCGCCGAGTCTCGCAGGTATCTCCCAACCCCCTCAAAATTTCATTTCTCGCTTTGTTCAGGGCTAAAAAACGAGCGATTTGAAGTCGCCGTTGACCTCTCCCGGAAATCAATGCGAAAACCCTTGATCCGACGTCGACCTTCTTCTACATGACTGCCGAATCTCGATATTCCTGTGCCTCAAAGCAATCTTTCATGTGCTGTCTAACCATTTAAAAAAAAATTTCGCCGAAGTCACGCCGGAGTCCTCTCCGCGTCGAGCGTTTCTCGTTCTTTTGTGTCAATCTATAGATTCAGCGAAACATTTACGCATCGATCGTCCGTGCACTTGGGTACGTCCATCGTAATCGCGCCAGAGAGACCACTGACTGATCGCAAGTAAATCGGCCTTTGTTCCTTTCTTTGCGTTCCTCAGAAACGAATGGTGCCACCAGCTCGCGGCGCGTTAACATCCAAAGTTCAATCGCGGGCGAGCGTCGATACCTCGCGATACCGTGCGATCGCGGTATTTTAAACACACGTGATGCGAAGTCACGACGGATTACAGGCGTGTCGCGTGTATCACTGTAAAAGTAAAGCCGAGACTAGTCGATACGGAAAGTGGACTCGCGAGTTTGACTATACGGGTAAGAAGAGAACGAATGCAGGACGCGCTCTAAGGAGTAGGAAGAAGAAGATATGAAGGAAAGAGAGAGGAAAAGAGAAGAGGAGAAAAGAGACGAACGGGACGGAACGCGCAAGGCGGGAGAGACTGTGGGGTACACACATCCACGGCTGGTCGTCGAACCGGTTTCCTTCTAGAGATCGCAACCGGCCAATTGGAAATACCACTGACAACGAGTCCGTCGACCAGCCGTTTTACGATCTCGCCGATCGCCGCGGCCGGAGATCCAGATAAAACACGATCGCCGCGTCGCGCTGAACCGAGTCGAGTCGAGCCGAGCTGGATACGGTCCGACGGGCGTCGATCGCAGGGAGCCTGCTCTGCTGCCGGCAGAATCGCTAATGTGCCGGCGAGAGCAAGAATTTCCACGATGAATCGAGAACGAGTATACGCCGAGTTGACGTCAAGGAATGTTACAGATTCCTTTGCCGCCTGAGCTTGTTAGACCAGAACTCCGTGGATTTTAATAGATTAGCTAGAGGGATATATATACGAGTTGCTCTTTAGTTCAGAAAGAAACGATGCGATGTAGTTTGCTTTTTATTCAACTACCGTTATACCGCGTAATTATTAATAAATTGTAAAAAAAGCTCGGAAGTATATCACACAAAGTGAGAAGGATCTTATACAAAATGCAACAGTTCTCTCTCGGATTCTTTACGCTTTCAGAATCCAATAATCAAATTCTGCTCGCTGGTCCGCCGAAACTGCCACTCACGCCGGCTGCGCGATTTTTCAACATTCGACACGATACAGAACTCGCGCGCGGATTTCGCGCGCATTTATTTTTACTTCCACCCCGACGAGCACATGCAAATACGCGCGGGCATGCAGAAATATTGTGTTGCGTCAGACTGCGATTAACGACTGCTACGTAAGCAGTAATACGTGTATTATTGATGCGGCAAGTATTGTCGATTGATTAATAAACATGGCTTTGCGGGGAAAACGATTATTAATTTATAACCCCCGCGGGAAGACGACAAGAAACCAATTACGTCCGCTGAATTTTTCCACGCTCCGGGATACGTTTTCCGAACTGGCGAAATAAAATTAATCGGCCGCGCGCGCGCGCGCGAGTTTTTTGCGCTATCGAGAGGAAAGGAATGTACCGTCGGCGAAGCTCGAAGATGTATACCTTAAGTCATAACCGACGAAGTCGATATATAGAGATACTCGACAACTCCGGTTCTTACGGAGGCGCGGGTACGAGGCAATGAGCGGCGATGCACAATACGCAACAAGAACGGTAATCCGACTAACTTTTAAGTGACACTCCGCTCTTTTGCTCTAAATTGGCTCTGAGCAATTACGCTCCGAGAACTCCTTAATGAAACCGGGAGTGGGAATGCACGGAGAACTATTGAAATACAAACGTCGATTAAGCAATAGGACTATTTAAGTGCATCTCGCTCTCGACCTACAATCGATCAAGATCAAGAGGGCTGACCCGGTTCGGCTCGACCGTCAATGAACGTACTCTCAGCATAAATTCCCTTCGTCTTCGACCGTACGTTTATTCTCAGCCATTGTCCGGTCATCGGGACATTCAAGTGGGAAAAGAAACGATAAAAACATTGGAGAATGAAAAATGTAAGCGTGATCCTCGGGACGAGCTATCGTATTCCTTCCGGACGGCAATCGACGTAACTCTCCGCGCTCGAGAAGGACGCTCGACGTCCCGTGATCGTCACAGTGATAAGAAGCATCTTATCATGGCGTCATGTATCATATTTTTCTCGAATTTATTGTTCCCCCACATGCCCCCCCTTATGGATACTCCAATCCCTCCTCTCCGACAGTTCTCGTCGCACTGGACCCTAAGACGACCGTTCGCGCCGCTCGGTATATTAGGATCGCTGACGGACGGACAGACGCGCGAGATCGGTAGAGGATACCGGAGACACGGAGGACGCCGCGACGCTGCGCGTCCCGCAGAATCACGATCCGCACTGGTACGCCATCGAGCGTTAGAGAAACTTCAGCAACCCTCCGACACATCCCGGCTCCCCACTCTTTCACTCACCGACCGAGTCGTATACACGTGCGGGGGCACACGCCTGTGTGGGTAAATTCGTACGTGCCACGCGTGGGCGTGTGCGTAGCCCCATCCGTTCGTGTACGAGCGACAGGAATACCCACACCGACGTAGACGCCATTCCAACGACGGTTCTCCAGCGATAGACTTCGCGCGCGCACACAGGGTTGGTCGAGGGGTATACGATCGGGTGCGCGAGCGCACCAGGGGCTAGCTCCCTTCCTCCATCGCTACCCTCCGCACCGCCACCACTACCGGCACATCGACACGCTTTCCGTCTTTCTCTCAAGCCCGACCGAACTGCGCGCGACCATCCCTTTTGCGCGCGCGGTGTTTTCTCCCTCATACCTTCTCTATCTACCTTTTTCCTCCTTTTTTGTTCTTCGGGGAGAAGGACCTGCATGTGCCACATGACAATTTCGGATGAAAACATCGTAGAGTGGCTACTAATCCGTTCAACGGATGGGGGGAGGGGATTCGGCAAGTAGCGGAGACCTGCTATCGGGCCGGTAACAAGCACGCAAACATCCTCAGGTTGAAAAGGCGACTCTAAACGACGTAGCTCTCCGGATATTTGAAACCGAGAAGAAAGCCGTCTCTTCGACTTAGTCGGCGCGAAGTCGGTGAGCGACGACACCGGTGGTCGCCATCAGTATTCCGCGGCTGATTATCTACCGATGAGAATAAACGCGGGCGACAGTGATAAATTGATAATGACACGTCGACTCTTGAACCGCGATGCGCACGGGCCATGTATCCCATGAGGTCGGGAATTACGCGGGCAAGACTTTACATCCGAGCGGAATAACAAGCGCAATAACGATAATAATAAATCAAATTTATCGCGCGACAAAGGCGAAGAATTTGTTAACTGAAGAGACAAAAAGCGAGAGAGAGAGAGAGAGAGAGAAAGAGAGAGAGAGGAGAGAGAACGAGAGATGGCGAGGGGAAGAAGAAACGTAGGGAAATAAATCGTTCTCTCGCGGAACGTAGCAGCGGGCCTGGCTAACCGGTTACGATACGGGAAGCGCGGGATGTGCGCCGTGGTCGCGCATGCTGCTGGCACGGCGAATAAAACGAGAATAATTCGAGCGCTATTGGATAACGTATCGCGATGCCGAGATGGAGAACGAAGAGCGCGTACAGCCCGCGCTCCATAGCGCGAGCCGTAGCTAGGAAATTGGAACTCTGGCTCGTCCACGGGAGTCGGAGCGAGGTCACGCTAGGGCCACCTAATCCAATGTTTTACAGGTTTACTGATTGCGGTAGAGTGCTGTACGACGCGACGCGGCCCTCGAGAGAGAGACAGGCGGGGACCCCCCGACCCTTTCCGACCTCGCTTCGATCTCATCCCGTTTCATTCACCCTCCTCGGTGGCATCCTACCTGCATCATCCCCCCTCCCCCTCGTACCCATCTTCATCGTTCTGTCTCGCGCGCGGACGCTGCCCTAATTCTTCGACAAATAAACGCATCATTGGGCAGCCGTAGATTTACCAATCAAACCGATGCCTGCTTCCATACAGGACAGCGGAAACTCGATGCGGAAGCCGTGCGGAAGCCCGCACACGATTCGGAATAGCAATGAAAACAGACTTTTAAATCTGCCCGTATCTCGCTCGACATCCTCTACGTCTCGCCGTGATTCCCGATCGCCCGGATCTTTTTGGTCGGTCAACGTTCCATTAGTGGACTCTACGATACGACCTGGGGATTCTCTTTTTCAATGAACTCATTAACATAAAGACACACACACCTAATGCGTTACTGATTCAAATGCAAATTTGCATTGCTCAAGAAGCGAAATTGAAGTCAAAGAATTCTTTATCGAGTTTTTTTACAGAAATCGAAATAAGAACGGTCGATAGTAATGGAATAGCTAACAAATAATTAATCCGATATTATTGATATTATCGAAATTCTTAATTAAATATCACGTGATGGATATTACATTGTGTAGTAATATTCTTCGCATCTGATGAAATATTATAAAGATACGTTTTTCTATGTTCATAGATTGGAATACTTCGTTATTTTCTTAAATGCATCGCGTCGTCGCGTCTGCCATTGATCCCGTAACTTCTAATTCAAGAAAAGCAATATATTGCTTTAGTCGTTATCTCTCTTTCTTTCTCTCTGCCTTTTGCTCTCGCGCACCGAACGATATTCCCTTCCATCAAACGCTCCACTGCGTACGCGGAACATCTCGCATCAAAGATTATTAACGAACGCCATCGGTGAAAGAGACGCGCTTCGTTAAACCCATCGTGTTCATTAATCCGATCGCGAGGGAGGTACGTGCGAGAGTTTATAATAAAACTCTTCTCCCGACAGGAGAAGCGGGGACTTCCATACAGGATAAGTGGCGGAATCTCGTTTCTATAAATTGAAAGTATCGAAAAAAGTGGAACAACGCGGGAACGCAAAAAGAAGAGAACGATAATGGCCGCTTCTTGCATCGCGCTGAACGCTGCGTTAAGTTCGCGGGTAGACGGGTGGCGGATAGATGGGATGGATAGATGGAGAGATGGATAGATGGATGGATGAATGGATGGCCGGACGGACGGCCTGGACGGACGGACGAATGTCCTTGCGCTATCGATTACAAGGATGGCTTGCGCGACAGACAAGGAAAGAGCGGTAAAGTGATGCAGACAAATGGTAATGTCATTACTTTTATCTACGGTGGTGACGAAATACAGGCCGAGAAACGCGAGTACTTCGTACAGGTCCAGAATGAAAGGGAGGAAATTATAACGCGCAGACACGAGGACGAGAATACGTGAAACCAATGTAATTATATAGGTATAACATAATTGATGTTAGAAGATTACATTTAATTAGAATATCGGATTGTATCGAATTTCCATAAATAATTTCCCATTGCACTTCTGAATAATCGCTTTTAATGGCGAATATATATTTAGGAAAGGTTAACTTATATTCTTGGTGAATTTTTTCTTTTCGAAAGAAATTTGATTTATAAATACGTAACGAGTGTTTATTTATTTCGGGTAATTACGGGCCATTTTTGCAACGAGGCAGGTATTAATGCTATGTTCATTTTAAAGGAGAAGAACTAGAGTTGTATATCATTTTGATGTCTCGCGGTTTCTCCTGATATGCAAAAATGATAGATCCCAGTGCGGCGGTTTACCCAAAGGGCAAAGAATAATATGCGGTTGGAATATATTATGAGCCGCGAAAAAAGCTTATAAAGCAAATCGTAAAAGACTCCATTGAATAACCTGCGAGAAGTCTCAAATAAACCACTTATAGTTATTATCAATTTATAAAACGTTCACCATATGCTCGTTATTATAACGATGGCACACACAATACATCGGTAATAAATTTTCACCATTGTTAAAATATATAATCTTTCTCTAAAGCTTATTTTAAATGATCTATACTTTGCGTCAAAATTCAGGATAGAATTTTACTTATATAATACTTACATATATTTTGTAGTATATATGTGCATATATATGCTCGAACATATATCTTAAATATATGTGCATTATGATGCTTTAAATTGTCTAAATGTTTTTACAGAGCATAAAATTATAGGTAATTAATATCTTGTCACGAATTATAGATTATCTAAAGTCGATTTTTCAAATGCTAATATAATAATGATTTCTATTATAAATGCTGAATTCTTCTTTTTTTACATTCTTTAAATAAACAATTCTATTATTTCGTCTGCATCACGTATTGGTTTTCTTGATCTATCTGGCGAGATAATTATACAACTTATGAATAATTGATTACACAAATTATCACGAACAGAATCGAGGTCCTCTACATTAATAATTGATATCGAGTATACGATTTGTATCACCTAATTGGATATGTTAATCGTATTTAGCCAACTGCATGAATATTGAAAAGACTACATTCGGTTAATGACACGTTTACATCGTTATTTATTTACGCGTTGTATTAAAAAGCCTGACGTTAATAATATGTCCGGAAGAGCAACGGTTTATTAATGCCCGTATAATGGGAGGCCGCCGCCGTGTACACACGCGTACACATTGGCTGTCTATAAATTATTTATAAAATTAACCGCATCGGTCCGTGTAGCGATCTCCTAAAATCCCCATGACGCGAGCGTTTCAGAGGATGTTGGGATCTCCAGATCTGCTCCCGACCGGAAGCACGTCCTAAGACGATCGTCGCCCATGTACCGGGGCCGGATTAGGTTATTTAGGTTCCCCTCATAAACGTGAAACCAATTCATCCCCTTTTGCTATACAGCACGCTGTCTAACCGTAAAACACAGTTTTTCACTATAAATTATTTCTTATGCATAATATCCGTGGAGGAATAAACGCAAGATTTTAAATAACATCGCATATTCAGGAATCAGTAAAAGTTATTATGGAAATACCATATTCAATCAAATAACTATATGCTTCTTTTCATTAAATTTTTATATCCAAATCTGAACGCGTGAATGTGTGGTCTATATATGAAAGAAACATTGCTGCAATTTTATCATTTTAAATTTTAAAAGACAAAATTTCTTTCTGAAAACATCTTTCTAAAAACTGCAACAGTTAGGTCGTTTTTATGAACAAGAAAGATAAAATTTAAAGTGATCAGCAGTTGCAAATATTCCTGTGCATAAAACTATTTTTAAAATATATCGAGTAACGCAAAATTTAAACAAGAGGTTAAATTTGTTTGCTCATTAGCGGGATACAGTTCATCCCTTATCGTTAACGAGGAAGTCATAGTATGTTCGTGCGTTGATTGGCAGTGCAACGAATTCGTTTATTGATTTGTTCAGCTTGCACTCCCAATATCAATATCGATATTTAATTGCGTCAATTATTTTATGCGGCATTCAGTTTGCGCAAAGGCGTGCAAAATTTTTTTTTTTTCTTTGTTTCTCAAACCTCTCACAAATTCCGGTTTGTTGATCACGCATTCGTTAATGAGCGGGTAAAACATAAAATGCCGAATCGTTATTTGTTGTCCGCGCGCACAGTTTTTTTCCTCCTGGTAGCAACAAGCATATCCTCGAGCAAAACAATTTATTCGCGCACGTAAAATAAAATGGACAATCCGTGGGTTTGGACGCCGCGAAACGCGGATACTTGCACCGATGTGCCCAGCTACAAATAGTTTTTCATCACCGCATTCTACACGACAGACCACTACGATAATATACGCGACTTCAAAATCAATATAAAAAATTTGCACGTAGCTTTTAATCGTTGCTGGAGGGAAGAGCTTTCGCTTGTTATATCGCGAAAACTCTTCCGCTCGTAACAACAGCTTTCCTTGTGACAGTTGTGACTTCCGCTCTTTCGCTCGTTGTCATGTGTCTCGGTGTTCTATATCAAAATTCATTATTTTCTTCCGTTTTCCTCTATGTCGACTGTTTTTAATTTATATACAAAAGTATACTTAACATATTGGCAATGGATAATTGGGCGTTCGATAGATTCTCTGCATCAATAACATCGTACCATTTTGGCGCAACAAATAGACGGGCAATTACCGATGCACCGATGCATTGAAACCTAACAAGAACCGGCCGGGGCCGATTCGTATTGCCAATTCATTCGCTCGTGGAGCTTCGCTCGTACGAATGGACGAATGAACGAATGAACGAACGAACGAGAGATCGGAGAGAAAGGTCGGCCAAGGGGTTCTCCGAAGCTATGTAAACTGCGGAAACGTGCAAATAAGTAACCCACAGCTCTCGCGCGGAGGTAGCGGCCGGGGGCTTCGCTCTCCAATAAATTGTTCTCAGGTCGGAGGTTAGCGCTATTTCGAAGGATGAATGTGCACTAATATGCGCGCGTGAATAACTCGGCGAAAGTTTTCCGTGCGCCGTGGGAAAAATTTTCTCGTAAACGCCCGGCCCGATCCGGGAGGAGGTTAGCAGATGAAGTACTACTGACGAAACGTTATGAGTCTCTCCGGAGAACGGATTTTCGAAACGGAAAGTTACTCTCTACCTATTGAAAATATACCTTTGCGTCATAATTCAGTATAACGTTTATTACTATATCATCTGCTAATCCTTTCAATTATTTTACAGAAAAAGAATTTTACTCAATTTTGCAAATAAATATGAAGTAGGTACGGAACGGAAGATATAAGACGGCAAAAATAATAATTTGGAAAATTATTTAATTTTCTCGGCAATGAACAAAATTCTTTAATTTTTTTGTTTTTTTTCTATTTTTAATTATATATTTTTTTCATTTAGATTTTATTACAAATGAGAACAAATATTTATATGCTATAATCGTTTAAATGGGACAAATATTAATTTGGATAAAATAAAATAATAGAAAATATTACATCATGTATATAAATATAAAATAAAAGATGTTTTGAAAATTGCGCATTCGATACGTATCTCTCTAACAACTTTAAAATATAATTTCAGTTATTTTGAAACTCAATATGCCATGATAACACAATAAAGTCGAGAGGATTAATACAATTATAAATAATATAATGATACTGTTGAATTCGCGATTTTATGTTTGCAGGAGCAGTATAAATTGAGTTTGGATTTTGCAGTTAATTGAATCGTTCCCATAAGTTATCGCGGATTATATAGATGGATATGTGCATCGTAATCTCATAAAAATTTGTCAACGTGGAACAGCGGAAAGATCACGATATTTTCCTCGCTCGTAATGGTTAACGATGTCTGGCGAGGCAACAAAACGCCGCGTAATCTAGGGGACAATACGATCGAGTAAAATTTAATTTCGCGAAAGAGAATTCTTCCCGCCGACGCGTCGGCGTCGCGCCGTTGCGCGCTACATGGCGAAGGGTCGGCGAACGGAAGCGCAGATCTAAGAAGATAAAGGGTGTTCCCGTTGAAAGCGATGTTTGAAACGTAGTTAATAAAATCGCATGAATATTCAACGTCGCGGAAATCGAAGTCCCGCGGGATCGAAACAAAAAGGTCAACGCATATTTGCCGTTACAAGCTCTCCTACCGCCCCGGAAAATTGAACTTTCTGAATCCGCATGGATCATTTTTTGCCCGCTTCGCCCGTGGGGCGATTCTCAAATTGGACTTTCGCGATGAAATTTTTCCACCACGCCGAGAAGCCAGCCCCATGATCGCTTTCATAAATATCGCTCTCAACGGCAGATTTTCTCTAAATTGCGCTAATAAATTCACGGCAAAATTAAATAATGCGAGAAATAAATTCCCAATTAATGATCGCTTGTAATTAATTCCTTGTAACTAATCTATACTTATATTCGAAGATAACATCAAGAATTATTATACTATGAACACAGAATCAATACTCACTTGTAAACCTTGTTTGAGAGTCGATTATTTTTAATAAAGTGAAGTTAATACCGGGCACTGAAAATATAACGTGGTTATTGATAAGTAACTCAAGTCTTTAGTTACTGTTCATTAGCCGTACTCTATAGTTCACATCTCGCAAGTAATTCAACTGTGACATTAATGTAATTTTATCGATCGACTGCTTTTAACATGTTTTGACTAATTGATGTAATTTTTCTACCACGGTTCCAATTTCAACCTTCATGTTCTCTCGATTTATACACCTATAATCATGTAATCAAATTACACACTAACCTTCTTACTATTTCGAAACTCATTTCATTTAAGGCTTTTTGTCCACCCAATTATGAAGCATCTATCTATATGGTTTAACGGAGAGCATGAGAAATAACTTTGATTTATCTTTTTTTACATCGCTGAAGATGGCTCAAAACGGAATCGAAACATCCGTATTATCATACATTATTAATTACAATAAAATATATTCTGATTGCTCACGCACCAACAACCGCTTTGTACTCTCAATACCCTGCAGTATTAACTCTATTTTGTACTTTGATTTTATTATTGAGAGTCCTTTGTTAATTTTTCTTTTTATTCGATCACATTTGTCACGTCTCCCCTCGTGTGCTTCATTAATATATTTCCATTTTTTTAATACATATATTTTTTTATATGTTCCAGCGTTACAAAATAATATTTAAAAATTAAATTTTACTCAATGGTATTGTCCTCTAGATTACGCAGCGCATTGTTTAAAATTTTTCCACAGTATATGATTTATATTAAATATAAATATGATGTATTGAATATTGCAATGTATAAGCGAAACATAATAAAACATTATATAATTTATTATACATTTTACACACCGAATCAATCGAATGTTTTTCAATAAATTTCAAATGTTTTTGAAACCAAATCAGACGTATTATAATCAATTAAATATTTTTATGCTGCAAAATATGAATATCGAAATTTCTGATTCAGGTTAGACTCAGTTAAGTATATTGTTTGCAACCGACATTAATTCGCTACCGATTTACACGGGATCGTTTGACATGAGAGGTAATGGGTGGTAACAATGACGTGTCAAAAGTGTCGAATTATAAATTAACCGACGGGATCGTAAGCTGAAAGAAACTTCAGTCCGTTACTCATTGGAACGTTCAATATTCAATATACCGGTCGGTGACGTTCAGCGAAACATTGACATCAGATCAGAATAATGGGCCTTCCAAATAATAAATTTTATTTCTATTTATTGTCAATGTGAATTTTTCATGTTCTCTATACATATCTTTACGAAATGTATTCAAGAGATTATCGGAATTATATTTTATAAATATTAAGAATTTTATGTTATACACTAAAAGTATTTTCTCATTAGTGCATATCTCTGACATAAAATTGATACCTAAACTCTGAGAAAATCCATCCGAAAAATTCTTTTGTTTCGATACGACAAAATATTTATCGGATATCATACCATTTTATTTTCGTGGTATAAAATCAAATTATCAAGACGGATGAGTTATAAGAGATTAAGGTAAAATTAGTTTATATTGTATGAATAAATATAAATAATAATTATTATCATTAGCGCGTTCTTTTTAATAAATTAATATTATGGCAAATACATTTTGTCCTATATTTATCATAGATGTATTTTCAAAATATCTCTAATTGTGAATATTGGAACTTTTTCTACTAACATACGTAATATTTAATTCGAGGAAGAGATGTGAAGATTAAATGCAGACCACAAATTTTATTAAAATGATATTTGAAAAAAGAAAGAAAAAATAAATTAGCATCAACAATATTTACAATTTTTACATTACGTAATGTTACATAATGAGCTCAATTTTATAATAATTTCTGTAACAAATGCATCCATAATCGATACACGATTGTATCTAGGATTCAATATTGATCTTAATCTGTTTAAACCCATCCATTTTGAAGTAATGGATCTATGTTATATTTATATGTTACTGTTAACTTGATAAACATGTAAATCTAAATCCATTATATCTCATCCAATTATTATAGATCCATTATCTTAATTGAAAATAAAAGATAGTTTGTCACTTACAGGTACAGTGCGCAACAGCGGAGGTGTAACTGCATCGTAGCTACGTTGATCTGTAAAATACAAATATATTTCAGTTATTAGGTAAGTACTCTAAGTTGTTAATTAAAATTTTAATAAAAAAATTATTGCGTGTATCGAATTTTTTTATTCACTTTAAAAAGAGATATTTATTAAAGTAATTTATATCGTCCAAGAAAAATTATTTTACATAGAATTGTTGGAAAAACTTCGTAACGTAAATTTACAATATCTGATTCTTGTACAAATAAAAAATCAAGTTTTAAGTATTTCAAATTTTATAAAGAATAAAACACCAAAAACATTTTCTGTACATTATATTGTAAAATAATGCGATATGATGATACGACATACGACCGTTATGGGAGTAAGTGATTAATCCCACGCAAGAAAATAACAAATGATAAGTAAAATAAAATATTACCTTAAGGTTGCTCCGCCGTTGCCTGATGCCTCCCCGGGCCTCCTCCTCCTCTCAGACTCCGATTGAACACTCACTCCCGAAAACTAGTTATTAAAATGTGATAATTGCGCGCGACACTGTACGGCACTCCCGAAAATATTAAAAATCTAAATTAGTTAAAATGCGATGAATTGACCGCGATTCACTTATATTTCCAATATCGTTAAAAATAGACATAATGTTCAAATCCTCTATGAATCTTCCGCTGAAGTTATAAAACAAACTACGGTAATCTGTAACATATAAATATATATATTCAAATTATGCGATGTTCAACATAATTCATATTTTATAAAATAATTATTACATTTATTAAATTTTTTATTTATCCATTAGACAGATATAAAAAAATTATGTAACTTTTTTAAACAAAATTTTTTTGTGAATATAGGCGCGTTTAAAATTTAATATAATAAACAAAATAAAAACATCTATAATTCTAAAATAATTGAAAATAATATAATTAAATGTAGTACCAAAATATATATATATATGCTTGATTATATCGATCTATATAAAATATGTATACTATAAATATTTTATTAACTTTTGTAAAAGAGTATCCTATAAAATAAAATATCTCTAAAATATTTTATTTACGTTATACAATGTTTTGTAGATGAAAATTTAATTTTTGTATACAATAATCTAATAAACGTAAATTTTGAGCGTGTTAAAATACTTGATGTTTTAAAACATGTATGTATTTTATTTTATTTTTTATTTTAAATATATATTTTTAATACACTAAAATATTTTGGATTATTTTGCAAGATATTTAACACATTTAGTAAAACAGTAATAATATTAAATATCATAATAATTTAAATACTTTAAAATAATATAAAATATTTTGTACACGGAAAGAACAGTTTTGCTGAAATATATAAAGATCCGGCCAGATACAGATCTGAAAATGATTATGTTGGACTAACAAAATATTTATGTAGGACACTCAAGTATGATGATAATGCTGCAAAAAGTTTTGACATTCTAGCAATCAACTTGAGCGTTCAATGTAATTATTTAAATGGCCCCACATAATTATTTTCTATAAACTGTATTTAGCTAATTTTTGGATTCGACCGTTCTCTGCGTATATTAATGGTAAATTTTTCATCAAGCAGAATAAGGTTCATTAGGCACAACTCTGTTCCTAAAGCTTCATTAAGCTTGTAAGAACCTCCAAAAATTAAATTGCGAACTTTAAAGTATTAAAATTTTGCAATGCCGTTGTCTCTCGTTTGATCGAGTTAATTATTTCAAAGTCAAATTTAACGAACTCTATTAAATATTTGTAACAGTTCTACTTGGATAGAATAAAATGGATAGAATAAAATTCATATCTCTATTTAATAAGTGAAACTAGACTGAATCCTTCAGTAAATTAGAGAAGATGCCATTTTCGGTCGGGCTGGTTCTTAGCCTAATAATAGTATTTCTGTGTAAATTTTGTAACTTTTTTCCAATTCATTGTCAGTAAAGTGAACGCCAATTATTTATCAGTCTTAAAACACAGTTTCTTGTTGGAACGTTAAATCGATTATTTCTATATATTTGTCACTAAATATATAAGTTATCTAAAAAAGTCATTTATATATTAGTCTTCGTGATAAATGTATCTCCATAAAGAGATTGTGAATTGATTTATTATTTAATTAATGCATTAGCATCTAATTATAGCGATGAAGTTTAGGATATGTAAACTACACGCATTAATGAAAATGCAAATACAGTAAATAAATGCCTTTGCATAAATACGGTAAATTTATGCAAAGTGTGTAAAATATAGAGAAAAATTCGGTATCGTACAAAGAAACTTGAAGAACGCATAAAATGAGCTATAGTATAATGTCTCATTCTTGCTCATATCCAATTGTATCATTAATATATACATTCTTTTCTTTGAGGAAAGATATATTTAAAAATAAGAAAATTTCACATTGTGATTATATAAAAATGTTATTGTCTACGTAAAAATTAAATGTAATTTCTCTAAAAAAAAGGACACTTTATTTTTAATTAATTTTATATGAATTTTGCTGTTAGTTACCTGAAATTTTAGACTACTAATAAAGCTTTTTACAAATTAATTCTTTTATAATTTAAAGAATTAAAATGTATCGATTTTTTGTGTTTCATTCTCCATATATTCTCCATATATCCACTTTTTTAAATAGCCTGTTGTTATAATACAGCAAGTACTTCACATTCTAAATTATGAAAATAAAAGAATATATCTCAGGTTACGGATTAATTATTAAATTTAATTTTTCATATCTATTACTTGTGTACATTTGAATTTTCGAGGAAAAATATATTATAAACAGGAGCATTTTTACATATAGTACATAATTCACTTACTAAGATGAAATATAGAATAATATCTATTACGTGTGGTATTTTATTTATCAAGTTAATAGGCATCGTACCGCGTACCGCACACAAAACAATTTTTATACAAAATAATTATTAGCTGTAATTTAATGAATATATTCTGCATGATAACAGATTACATTATCAACAATTAATTAAATTTATCGTTATGTGTGCTTAAATATAAAAATCAAAGTTACTTTTAAATAATGTATTTTTCAATTTAATTATAATTAATTATGAAACTAATTATGGAATCATTTATATGGTACGTTTACAATATTATATGTATTGCTGATTGCAATAGCAATTACAAATAATTCTAACAGTTATTCAAAGAACAAAGAACGGAAGAGTTTATATTAACGAGATGAATAAACTTACCTTACCGACCGTATTCGTCCAATCTCGCCGGCACTACATTCAAGTTGACATCCGCGCTGAAGGACTGCTCCGATTCGAAGACCCGCGTCGATCAGGGAAACGCGGGAACGCTAATTACAAACACGCGCGAAATTATTAATAACGAACGCTCGACATTCCCGGCTTTCGACACTACCGACACTCGCTCGCGATTCGTACTTACCTCGGTATTCCCAATTCTCAACATTCTCCACTTTCGACATTTCCGTACTGCGACACTCGATATTCCTTCGCACGATTCACATTTCGCTGCAGTTTCGATCGCTACTGATTCGATGTATTCACCGCAGGACTGTAACACATGATGATGACCAATCGTGCGATTTCATTACACATGTAGATCGAATAACGTGAAACGGCCGAAAGGAAATTCCGACGTCGCACGTCGCGTCGGGACGCAGTAGTGATGGGGTTATGAGTATATCGGGAGAGAGAGAGAGAGAGAGAGAGAGAGAGAGAGAGAGAGACGCTTAATTACAATCGCGCATACCAATTGATACCGCGATCACTTTACGTAGTATCTGCCGCCGCTCGGTGTGAGAGAATACGCGAGACTGACACCGCATTCGATCGGCTATTGTATATATATACGAGTGTTATGACGCGGCGAGTATCGAACTATCGAGTACGCGGCGACCTTCGATCGAGAGTTGGATCGCGCCGGCCGGCTCGGCGGGTGACAACATTCAAAAATACGCATACCTCATTACAAAACACAGCGCGCGATACACCGAACTTCATTGTTCTCTAATATCTTTTACGTTTGTTTCAAAATCCGCGGTTATTCCTCTGCGAGTAGTCGATGTCGAAAATAGTCAATAAAGCATAACATCGCGCACATTTTCGGAATTCTTTTCTTTAATATCTCTGAGTTTCTTTGAGAACTATAATATTGCAAGAAATAGCGTGCGTCGAGAAATATACGATTAGTTACAAAACGCTGCATATGGCACGATATTCTCCATCATTTAATATTTTAACGTTCATTTCGAAATCTGCGAAATTTCGAAAATATCACTTTCTAAAAAAGTATCATAAAATATGTAATTGGTTACGAAGCACGATGATATATTATACACATACGTTCGCAAAATACTTTATGTATAGCTTTCAGTCTAAATTTCTTATTTTCTTCTAAATTTAATCAATTTAATTCAATAAATTTATTACATTTAGAATAACTAAAAAATCTTCTAAAATTAAAAAATCTGCGATCAACGCGACGATTTCAAAGCACCAACGATATATATATATTAGTATATATATAACGATATATTATATATCTAATTAAAAATTCTTCGTTTTTAGATGGCCGACAACAGGGATGGAGGATGGAGGAGATTTCGGAGCTCGTCGAGAAACGAGCTGGAGCCGCTCCTGAGGAAACTAACCAAAGGTCCAGTTCTGCACACAATCGCCACTCTCTCACGAAGGGACGGGAGTCGACGGGAAGCTCGAAGGACACTTTCAATCTGCGTTCCGATTTACGACGTCGAAATTTCCTTCGTTTATTCGCTCTGAAAAAGACACATTTGCGAGAGATAATTTCGACAGTGTATATCACATAACTTGTTTTGTAGTTGAATGAATATTTTCGGTTGACCGTTTCCCGGTATATTGCTACGCGATACCAAAGGTCGGCAGCGTAAACATGGCCTCGACACGTTGGTCGTACGCGCCATAAAGTCGCACGAGGACTGCGAGCACATTAGTCTCGTTTTGTCTCTCGTCAAGTCAAGTGTCGAATGTCACAATGATCGCGAAGACGATTGTTTAGCGCAGGTAATTATGTAACTGTGTAAAAGTGATTTCATATCGTTCTACGAGAAAAGAGCCATGGAGAACCGCGGATTGATTAAGTAAGCAATTGACCTGATAATTGGTGCGTTATGATATTACATTACGTTATATGAAGCTTTTAGCCGTCACTTATAGACATTTGCTGCAAAAGCGAGTATATGATTAATATGAATTTAAAGAACAATGAAATCGGCCAAGGCACTTCTCGCGAATAATTTATATGTGGTGCCATTATTTTAATTTGTATAGAATTAAATTACAGTATAGAAATGAAAAGGCAGCGCGATCGGCTGCGAATTATTCAAACAAGATATATTCAAATATTGTCATTGCATATCACAGTGCATTTCTATTTTATTGACAATTCCACGAGAGCTTTATATCACAGCTAAAAGGTTAATAAATATTGAATACAAGAAATCATACTGGTTATATAAACATTTTTGATACTGGTTATTTTAAAAATTACTGTATCAAGAAATTGTTACATGTGCGAATAATTCTCCGAAATTCGCGTTTTCCTGCGATTGGCGTTTCTGTGAAAGCTGCATATCGTCGAAAAAGTTTGAAATATTATTGAATATTAATATGAACACGTTTAATATAGTAATATTACATTTTTGAAAAATAAAATTGGCAATGCCTACACGTCTCGACACTGATTCGCGGCGCGAAATAACAACACCTATATCGTATAAATAATAATAAATCATATGGCTGAGATTCGTACACACACGACGCATTACCTCGATAATTTTTGTTAATTTCTATCATGCTAGATCTCGCGCTTTAAACGGAAATAAACTCGAAACAGAATATACATATCGTGACAACTATATATTTATATTGTTATATTTATACTGGTACATTGTCATTTCATATCAGTGCAACGCGACGCAAAATAAATAACATAACTTAGATAATACTCAATACATTTTGCTTCCTCCGGATATTCCTATTCCCGGAGGTCGTTACTGACGCTAAAAAGACACTGGCTTCTTACCATTATCCGGCGCGTATCGCGTTGCAATTGCAATCGACATTTCCGACACTATCGCCGTTAAGTTCGCGCTTTCAAATCACTTTTTACGGGTAAAAGTCACGAGAAAACGCACGGGATTTTTGATACCGCCTTACCGCTACAGATTCGCGACGCGAAATGGCCGGCTATCGTCAACGACCCCATGCAACACCAACGTCAAGTATCGTTCGCGTGCGACGCGACGCGTCGCGCCAACTTCTCTCGTTACGTTCGCGCGCCGCGCTCGGAAATCTGGAAATCTCCACCGTTTAGAGCTCGCTTTCCAGATACGATCGAAATGAGACACTTTCCTGCAACTTATTACATTTAATATCACCCTGCCACTTGATATTAACGCGACGCGGCGCGAAATACGCATCGCAGCTCGTATGCCGTGTTACATTATGCAGCTCGTGAGCTCAAACTGCGCCGCTCGAATATCGTTGCAAACGCTAAGAAGACGCGGCTACTCACGACTATCCGTCGTATCGCGCCGTTAGAGTTGCATTCCCGATATTCCCCCGACGTCTTTTTTACCTGCAAGTCACTTTTTACGGGTAAAACCGCAAGACGCGCGGACCGACTACTCGCCGGTACGCGAGCAAGAGACTCAGCGACACGTAATGGCGGCTGAGCCGTTGAGCGGCTGTCGCGTGAAGTAGGTATCGTTCGCGTGCGACGCGGCGACGCGCCGCCAACTTCACTCGGTACATCCGTGTCCGCGCTCGGAAATCTACAAGTCTACCGTTTACAGCTCGCTTCCCAGATACGCCCGGAATTAGATATTTATTGCAACCTATTGCACTTAATACTACTATTGCCGTTATTATATTAATAATAATGCCGCTAATATTGCTCGATGTGAATGCGACACGGCGAGATCGGCATCTCACAGTTCCAGATCTCGCTTTTTGAAGAATATATTTAAGAACGCTGAAAATATAATGCGGCTACTCACGATGACCCCGGAGTTACAATCTACACCTCCGACGTCCGCTTTTATACCTCGCCGATACATTTTAAAATTACGGAGCGACTTCGGTGCCGATCTGGCGTCCGGGGACTCGCAGCGCGAAATGGCGGCAAAAAGCGCGCGAAGCTGCGCGCGTTCGGAAACTCATAAGGCCGGTTCTACAATCAGTCGGAATGCAGCCGATGGACCAATGAGAGAATTTCTTTTTCAAAAACAATAAAATTTCCTCATTGGATCATCGGCTGCGTTTCGACATCCGACTCCGACATACGACTCCGACATACGACTGATTGTAGAACCGGTCTTTATCATTTAAGACTCGCACTTCTCAGGCGTGATCAAAACAGAATATTTGTAACTTATCACATATATTATTAATTGATATTATTAATTAATATAAAATATTATTAATATATTGTTAATAATATCCGATATCAGCGCGATGTGACGCGAGATGGACGTCGCGGCTTAAATTACGTCACCGACGACACATTATTAACGATCTACGTACATTTCCTTAATTAATTTCAAATTAATTAATTCCCCCTCCCGGGTACCTTGAATGTAATAGATCACAGACTGCTTGAAATGGATCTGACATAAATATCTAAATGATTAACCTACAATGCAGTATTAATGATTATGCAGTTATAATCGCGATGATTTATGATTATCCGGATGTTTCGCAGATAAACGTGTACGAGCGCAAAAAATATTACATGTATCTTCGCAAAATCGCATTTTCGTTTTCATTCGCATGGATGATCGGCCATGGATGATGAAAGCTGTGAAATGCAGTTTTAAAAATAAATTTACAATATTCTTGCGTCCTACGTACGGGGTATCTATGAAGCATCGAAAATAATGATGAATCGTAAAATTTCCCCTGTATCGCAAGCTGATCATTCAAATATCGATAGTCATGCGGTCGCCGTAAGTCTTTAATCAACATCTCGTCGGTGATCGCGTTAATTTACATCGCGCTGCTCGAATAGTGAAAAACATGCGGCTATTTACAATAATCCGACACGCGGTGACGCCTTTTAGCTGTTTTCAGCCGCAAGTCGCCTGTTATTAAAAAAAAATGTACGAAAAAACATATGGAACGATCGCGACGCGTTTCGGCGCCTATAACTGGCCGCGGCGACGCGTAATGGCGGCCATCATCGCGCGGCGCACCGTCCGATTCCAATTCGCGCGTCACGGCAAACATTTATATTTGCATTATCGCCGTTCGCAAATGCGCATGCAGCCGCATTAATTGATCGCGCTTATCGTCCCGGTTATTGCCGAGACTCGTCATTAATCGCGAACAGTAAAATCTACGAAGGAGAGGGAGGAGCGATTTTGTGCAATTGAAGAACGCGCAGCAACTTCACGCCGACGCGACGCGACGTCGCCAATCGACTTTCGAGCGCGCATGTTTAATTGCCTCTGCAAATTGCATCTTGCGTCTGACCGATGACCGCGACCTGAAATTTTCAAAAATACGATATTATGGCTAACAGATTATCGCTACTTACATCTTGATGAGTACGAGATGATCGTCTGATATTCTCAATGGCAAAATCAGTCGATCGGGTTAAAAGCGGGTATTTCGATTATTCATTTTATCTATCGCCATTTTGGACGAAAGATGAATTGTCTTTTGAAATATAAATTGCATAAATATA